GGGGACAATTCAAACTTTCTGTCACATTCTACGTCTGCTGACACACAGATTATATATATATATTATATATATATATTATATATATATATATAATATATATATATATATATTGGGTTCAATAATAACTACAATGTTGATTTTAACAGTCATATTGGCCGTCATGTTTATGTGTATTTCTTTAAATTAATGTAAAGATCAGTAATAGGAAACTTTCGCTAGATTTATCCGGCAAAACGATTTCTGAAACCTTTCTTGAGGCAATGGAAATCCCTAACTTCAGCCGTCTTCGGTTACAGAGTCAAATACCCAGCTTCCTCAAAAGTAACCTAGAGTATATCCGTCTTCTCCAAATGATTTTCAAATGAACACCACTTTAAGATATCCCGTCTCACTAAAAACGTGACTAAACTTGTACTGGTGACCAGTTTTGAGCGTTTTCGCTTTTCTTACAAGCTGGCTAACATTATATCTGCATATTGTGTTGGGGTCCGGTGACAATGAAATGTGTGAAAAATTCACGTCAATCCGCACAAGTAATGCACTAAGTTATGGGTTACATTTTGATGTCTCTTCAAAGATGTGAAATGCCAGTAGCAATTTTTAAACAGACTGATAGACCACTTCGCCACGAAAACATCCAGGGCACAAGTTTTGCACAAACAGTGAGTTTCTACGATTGAAGAACGAAAGGGGACCTAAGGAACTAGCACGCCTGCTTGTTGATCCGTCTGGTATGCGTTATAACATCCACTATGGTAAGATCTTTTATAGTTTATCAGACTCTTACTGCTTTAGTCTACACTATGTATACATACATTTTCTCCATCTATGCATCGCTTGCATGGTCAACCTCTAGCTGCTTCCATTATGTCTCAGTGACAGGGGTCTCTGTGGTGCACTACCGGGGTATAGTCTTCACAAGTGTTCGAACCACTTAGTATTGCCAACACAACCCAACAATTGCCAGTAAATCTGTAACAAAATGCCGCTGTTTTTTGTGCACTTGATATTTACTCCAGCTTGGTTGATATGCTTTTATAAAATCTATGGAATTATAACAATGGCTGGATACGAGCTCGAAACGGTTGATTCAGCTGGTTGAAAGACTAATACTTAAAGCCCCTCTAAAGGTTCTTTACCTCGAAACCAGAATGCATTTACATATTTATCCTAGTTTCTAATGAAGCAATATTTCTTCTAATCCATCTACAGGAACTAGAGTTCTGGGGTCTGACCGAGCTGGATATAGAGCCCTGCTGCTGGGGCCATTACAACCGCTTCAAGGAGAACAAAGAGACGCTAGCAGCCATAGATGATACTTTTACCTTCCAGCTGGACACTGAAGCCTTCGGCGTGAAGCCAACACCGTATATGCAATTTAAAAAGAAAATGTGGATCTTCCTGGTCGACCCGTCTGCTTCAAGGGAAGCCAAGGTAACGGCATGCATCTGTTATGTATCCGTTTGTCTTTGTAATTTTCATTCATCCAAAACTTTGATCCGTTGCTCCTTGTATAACAACAGTCATCAGCATCATAATCGTCACCATTATTATGATCCACATCATACACTGTGCTGACAAGCTCAGGTTGTCATGCTTCCATGACCTGAATCAGAGATCAGGTTAGCGGTCTTGTTTCACCACATCTATATGGCTAACCAACCATTCGGGTAATTATTACTAATAATATTACAATTATTTGTGTTTGCCTTTTGTCAATCTTGTTAATATTTACCCCAGTTTTTGTGTCCATTCGTTTTTATAGCATGTCCTAAAAACACGTGTGCGTAATTTCTCTTTTCAGTGTACGGTTTTTGTTTGTCTTGAGGAGGACTGATTCGTGTGTTTTCTGTCATTCCACAATATTATTTGCTTTTTCCCCCGATAAACCACATGTCCGCTAAGAGTCAATGGGTCTTTTTCCTTACATCCTTTTATAATTTCGTCCATGGTACATTTTTTTTATCCTACTATTTCCCCATGTTTGCTCCTTTCTTCTGCCATTAATCTTTTCCTTCATCTCCTTAGCGTTCACCGGTCGCAAGTTTTGGTTAATCATCCACTTCTGAATTTTAGCCATGATCAAAACTTGATTTTTGCGTTCACATAAGATGCCCCCCCCCCCATCCCCCCCCCCCCCCCCCGACTTCAAAGAGATGCTTGAAATGTTTGCTTTTGTCCACGTTTCACTCGCATGCATCTTTCATTGCATTCATTGTTCTGAGCAGACTAAAAAAACACATAGGAGGTTACTGTTTTCAGAAAATTTATATTTGGATAGTGAAGTCATCGTGGTGGAAAGTTTGCAACATAACAGTTGTCAAGCTAACCAAGCCCTAGGATCCGAGCTTTCATTAGTATAAATAGACAACTCTGAAGCTGAGTTTATTGAGGCACCTACTTATCCTGGCAGTCAGAAATAGCCGTAAAGGCAGATGTATGAACAACAGAAATGTTAAATAATAATAATAATAATAATAATAACAACAATAATAATAATAACGATAACAATAACATCAACACAATAAGAAGAAGGAGGAGGATTTCAATGGGAAGCCGTAAAATAATACTGAATGGTCAAAGAACTTTGGCAAGAGGAAATCCTTTCATATCCAAAGTATTAAAACAACTCAGATCTATTTAGAAACACGATAGTCCACATCATTTAGCAAAGAACACATTTATGCTAATGACAGTAATGTTCATTTTTCATTTTCATGTGGTAAACTAACGAGAAACTTAAGCTTTCAATCTCTTCCATGAGCTATCTGCTGTAAAGTTTGTTGATTATATAATTGATGCCTATCTATTGTCTTTACATCTGTGTTGACCTTTTATGTTTTCCTCACTTCTATCAACCCATAGACTTCCGACTTGTAGAGTCTGTCCTACTTTAGCAAAGTTCACGACAAAATATCTATTTTTTTTAAGATGTACGTAAAAGAGACAATTATTTTCCAGTAATGATGAGACACACTGACTTGTTTGATTTTCTACAAATGTCAGATTCAGTAGCTGTATTGATTATACAGTAGTTGAGTCTCAGTGGGGACACTGAAGAGCTAAATAAAGTCTGAAATAGCCTTTCTCAACATTTACGGTGTTATCCATTCTCTTTCCTGGCTAGCTCAACTAGTTAAACCTGACTGCGCGGTGAACAGGTGAACTCCTTGTGGTCCCGGTTCACGCACGGGAGTAGGCAAAAAAAGCCACATATCTCCCAGATTTACGGTACCTATCATGGAATCAAGGCCGAAGGGTTGCCATGTTAATAGTACCGAGCCAAATGGTTTACAACTCTTGGTTTCTGGATATTCAAAAACATATATATATATATATATATATATATATATATATATATATATATATATATATATATATATATATATATATATATATTTTTACATATCCACTCTTTTCAGCAAAACCATGACAACCAAACCTAGATTGGAAACCCACCCCCACGCTTACAATGTTACCTAATTTTCATTAATCAATTTCATCCACAGATTTATGCCGTGACGTCGATGTTTTTCGTCCTGCTGTCTATTGCCGTCTTCGTTCTAGAAACACATTCCTGGTTCAGAATCCCCCTCAAAGGAATGAATTACACGACAACAGTTAGTGCTAGTCCGTCTTGCTCGTTTTCGCTAGCAGACACTTGCTGCTGCAGGTATGAAATCAAGGAAGACTTAAAGTTTGATGAATCCGAGCCTCATGAAGCCATGACATATCTAGACTACATATGCCTGGCATTCTTCGCCCTCGAGTACATAGGGCGGTTGTATTTTGCTCCAAAGAAAATGGAATTCTTTAAACAGCCACTGAATGTGATTGACATCATGTGTTTGCTTCCCCACTTCGCGTCCATAATTATGAAATCAATTGACCCAACTGAAAAGAGCTCTCAGATAATTAAGGTTGTGCTTGCGTTAAGGATCATCAGAGTTTTGCGTATATTTAAACTAATGAAGCATTATACAGCTTTTAAAATCCTTGTCTATACAATCAAGGTTAGCACAAAGGAGCTTCTCCTTATGGTGATATTTCTCTTTACGGGGGTTCTTATATTTGCCAGTATTATTTTTTATACTGATAGTGGAACGTTCCACAACATTCCTATTGGATTCTGGTGGGCGCTTGTAACAATGACAACGGTAGGATACGGTGACAAAGTTCCTAGGACAGAAGGAGGATACATCATCGGGTCACTGTGCGTCTTGTGTGGAGTTTTAACCGTTGCTTTCACAGTTCCCATTGTTGTTAACAATTTCACTCTTTACTACTCACACGCTCAGTCTAGGGTCAGGCTGCCTCCTCCCAAAAGAGAAGAATTGCAAAAGAAAATTATAATGAGGAATCAGAAAGCGCAAGAATTTATTCAGAAACTGACACGGACCGTGAGGAAAACCAAAACTTTCAATTCATTTAATGCTCCAAAGTTTGAAGATTGTAAAGACGAAAATCCTTCCATTGACTCCGGCTTGGACGTGACAGCCCCATCCGAACGATTTACGAACAACCTGTACCCTATGGAATCCACAGTCACCATGTGTTCTAGTCTCCCTGAAAAACAAACCTCAGCAGAGACTCCTGTGCGGCGAAGTAGGGCGGTTGCGCCTTCAGTATATACCGTCTCCGCAAGTGTGGGTGAACTGGAAATAGAATTACCAGGAACGCCGACCTCAAGCACTGTCGAAGAAAAGGTGATTTTTGCTCATTTATTTACTCTGTAAAATGTTCGAGTAGTAAGTAAATACAGTAAAAGTCAATTTTAAAACAATTGATTCATATTGTCATAGATTAACCGACAGTTGATGAGTAATATGGCCATATACCTTTTCCTGATATCTGTTTCAGTAAGGGTAGATCTGTTGGTAGATAGGTATGTGCTTTGCTAGAAAAAAAAAACGTCACGTTCAATCAGTATTCTAAAAGAGGGTGGTTTTGGTTATAACTGTGACTAGGTTATGAGCGTCGGACAAAATGGCTTAACATTGCACGCCACCAAGTAGCTCTGAAAAAACTCCTGCAGTGTTGATGCCATTAACAGGAGACAGACCAAAAATTCTGTTCCGACCAGTGACGAAGTCGTCTACCGGCGAGCCAGTGTGTGATCCGGTCGCCAATGTGTGGGTTGACCTAGGAGTCAAAGTCATTTTATAAAATTTTGTTACAATGTGGATCCATGACCGAGGTGGGTGAGCAAGCCTATAGTTATAGCGCTGATGTTGCACCACATCGTTTACTACAGATATACATTTCTCTATCTATAAGCAAATTTTCTGTTTTTATTCAATTCTTAGCACTACCTGTTCAGACTACTGTTGGTGTGACCTACCATCATAGTTGGCCACTGAATATAATTTAGCGTAGGTCTAATGCGAGTTGTCGTCGTTAGTACAGGCATGTTTGTATTGTTTTGTCTTTTAGCTGCATGGACAGCATAATTTGTTTAGCAATAATTTATAGTCAACTTCATGGTCATCGTATCTTTAATACCATCAAGTTTTATCTCGGCAATAACCCTGGACTGTAATGAATCGTCAAAGTCCACTGTCCTCCATCTTAGCCGTGTACTCAATTTGACTTGTCTTTATCCATCTTTGGATGTGCTATATCGACATGAGGACGCCAAGTAACATGGTGGTTCGCGCGCTCGCATGATAAGACACTTGTCTGGCTTGACTCCCCAGCTGATCACCCCCCCCCCCCCTCTTCCTTACCCAAACTACCACCACCACCAGTACGACTCTGGGACAGTTACAGATTAGTACCAGAGAAAGTGGGAGTCGCCGTGGCCGAGCGGCTAGACGCTCGCCGCGGATCGGAAGGTCGTGAGTTTGCATCCCTGGCGGAGCCGGACTTAAAAAAAATTATCTTGTCTCTCAGGTCGACCCAGCCATGAGTGGGTACCGGGTGCAGTCCCAGGAAGTAAAGGCGGCCAGCGTGATGCTGACTACATTAACAATCTTGTGCCGATTGGTCTAAATGGTCCTTTACTTTTTTACTTACCAAAGAAAGTTGATGGAGCCGAACATTTTTTTTAATGACTATGGCTTTCAGGTCGACCCCGTCTTTAGTGGGTACCAGGTACAGCCTTGGGAAATAAAGACGGCCACATCACCGACCTAGTGCCAATTGGTCAATAAAATCTAGATCCAAGCCTCTATGCCTAATACACCTGATGGTGTAGAAAACGGTGCTTTACTTTTTAGTTTAACTTACCAGACAATGTTGTGGGAATTTATTTGAAAGGAAACCACTACATTGTATTACCTAGCATAAACTTTATAAAGGTTTAATTAACACTTCATTAACTAACAGCAATAAATTCTAGCAAAGTATCTTTAACTTTTGATTTTGATTTGTTACTTTTCTGTTTTCTTAATGCTAAGTATTCAAAGGCTCAGATGATAGGACCTACTTAAAATTTTGGAGGATAGTAGAGCCCATAAGGACATCCTCAATGGTGAACTACAGATGGGTAGAAGATAATAGGACCGGCCTCTAATAAAATTTAAAGAAGTTTGCAAGCGGGTCATCATGGTACACGTATTGAGATGGATTCTTGGAACTACATTATCATGTGGCTTTGGGCGGAAGGGGAACATTCAAAAAAAAAAAAAAAAAACATGGAAAAATATGGTTGCAGACTGGCTAAGAACAGCAAAACAGCGATGTCCAAGCTGAATACAAAGCAAAATCAACATCACAGTTAGGGTCAGTCAATATATTCAAATCACTGGTATTGTCAAATTTCTTATACCGATGTAAGAGTTGGACTCTCGCCTGTGGAAATGAAAAGGAGGATTCAGGCGTTCGACTGTAAATGTTACAGACACATTTTAGGTTACTTAGAACACAAAACTAACAAAAATGTAAGAGACAAAATACACACATTTGCAGAATATCAGGAGCCTCTTTTTCGCAGTGGTGAAACGTCGCAAGCTAGCTTGGTTCGGGCACATGGTGGGACGAATCTAGTGCGAAGACTGTGTACTTCAAGGAACGTTGGTGGTAGTCAAAGAAGAACAGGACTAAGTTATCACACACACAAAAATGTTATCATACACTTATTCATCAAGCGGAAGACATAGACAGATAGCCGGTTTTAATATGCTAGTTATTCCATCGGTACACTTCCACCATCCTAACGGATCAAGGGCTATGTTATGTCAGAACTGAACTTCAGAGAAGAAATGAATCATCTACACGTGATGACAGAGTGCCCCTGAAATGTCAATCAATTATTTGTAAGAATCTTCCTAATGCAGACTAGGTTTGCTTGTCTCACTAACAGTCTCCTGGGCTGTGATTGCAATGCAATCCTTTGACTCATTGAACGTTGTCGTCTTGACAGACGGAAAGATGTCAGCTTTGTTAGTTTACCCATGTTTTCTTCTTACATACTTGCTTACTATTTTTCCCACTGGTAATTTTTACATGTATTAAATATTTCTATTCTAACAACAGGCTCGACAGGTAGAATCCGTCAACCTGCTGCATGACTTAGAAGACCACGACGAAAAAGTTCAAACTGAACGTCGACGGCAATTGGAAATTCTACTGTTTAGAAGAGAGCAAATGAGACAATCTCGGAACATTCTCCACGACTCACCAACATCAGATGAAGCAGTCAAACCTCCCGAGGAATCCCAACCCCAAACCTCGCTACCGAAACACGCTAAAGTGCCTCTTCATCCTTTCCATCCACCGCCAATTGCTTCGTCTCGTTCGGGTCATTCTTTCAGTGTAAAGTTCGCGGATCGGGTGATTTGAGATGAAAACCCGGAGTTTGTTATAAATCATGTTGCATTTGTTACAGCATTATGTAAGTATACACCCTAGGTGGAGTGATTCGATGCGTCAAGGCAAGGGCGCCAGAACTTGGTGGCTTAGGCCCATAAATCCCCCTCACTTACAGATTGTAAGAGGTGGATCCCTGGCTCCCCCTGAGAATATCTGTAAGGTGGCAAAGCTCTCCTTAAGCAGAAGTTATCTTTTTAAGTATTTTTATTTTGGCTTTCCTATTATTTCAAAAATATAATTACATCGTTCGTTTGTCCATCACAACTCTTTCTTTCTTCTGTCATGAAGCTGGAGTTTAATGTTTGTGAGTCCAGAGGTGACTTAAAAGTCCAACACTGGCCCGGAAGAGTCTAGGACAATGAGGACAGAGCACAGTGTCTGTAGACAAAAGACCTGTTTGACGGGTCTTTCTTGCCCGTCCTGGCTGTTCAGCTGCCCTTGTTCTGATGCCTCGCAGATCGTTGTTCTATTTCGGATATATATGGGCTATGAAGTCCGATGTTGTGCTGTAACTGCCAGGTGTCAGGGTTTATACTAAAGGCTTTCGGCGATGCTTTGAAAGCACATTTTCTGACCCTCATGACCTTCTTGTATCTCACCATAGAAAATTATTTTTGGAAGCCAATGGTCAGGCATTCGAATATATGTTACACACATAAGCCATTGAGCATATTATTATTATTATTATTGTTGTTATTATTATTTTAGCATATTATTATTATTATTATTATTATTATTATTATTATTATTATTACTATCATCTTACTTTAACCCGGTTTGGGCACACTGGCCTCACTACCCTAAGTAAATCTGTAACCAGACCCAGATACCTCCCCAGGCCCTCTTTTTGCGAGCACTCCCTCTCATCCTCATTATCTTCTTTATGTAGAAGCCCCTTATTCCAGATATGTATTGTACTGCCATCTGCAAGTTTCTAATCAGATCAAAGTCACTGAAAATAAATGTTTCGTAAATACAATTATAGAATAACTATGTATCTATACTTTTAGTTGTCTGTAAACATCTATGCAGTCATTGGTGAGGGTTTTCCTTGTTGGAAGGCGATATTGTAACCTTTCAGTCACTGAAAATTTCGCAGGGTGTTCAAACGAAAGCCTGCCTAGATGGTGTAATATATTATTTTTTTTTTTCAAACTGTTTGTTGAACTTTGCATTCTATATATCTCACATGTATAGGCGAATACATAAATGCATACATAATAATAATAATAATACAGACAGACAGACAGACAGACAGACAGACAGACAGACAGACAGACAGACAGACAGACAGACAGACAGACAGACAGACAGACAGACAGACAGACAGACAGACAGACAGACAGACAGACAGACAGACAGACAGGCAGGCAGGACAGACAGAGAGGACAGACAGACAGACAGACAGACAGACAGACAGACAGACAGACAGACAGACAGACAGACAGACAGACAGACAGACAGACAGACAGACAGACAGACAGACGGACGGACGGACGGACGGACGGACGGACGGATGAACAGACAGACAGACAAACAAACAAACAGACGGACAGACAAACAGACAGACAGACAAACAAACAGACAGACAGACAAACAGACAGACGGACAAAAAAACAGACAGACAGACACACTCATACAAAGAACACACTTTTGACTCTCCAGACATGACATACACTTAGAGCAGCGTTTCTCAACCTGTCGGACGCGAAACCTGTTGTGTGTGGTTTGAACGACTCTTTTACAGGGGTCGCCCAAGACCTTAGAAAAACGCACATTTATTGAAGTTGTAGAAGAAAATAATTGTTTGGGTGTCGCCACAACATGAGGGAACTGTATTAAAGGGTCGCAGCACTAGGAAGGTTGAGAATCACTGACTTAGAGAAATGTTAAACACTCTCACCTGACAAATACTCGGTGCTGTGAAAAACGGTCTTCGGAGGTGTCTACAATCAAATATTAACGACACAATCAGCTTAACCTACAGGGCTGGATCAATGCAGCAATGCACTCTGCGCGGACTGGCTGCAAGCCAGAATAAAGCTGACTTCAAACACGCTATCATGTATGAGCTTTGGCTTAGTCTGAGTGTTTATGTGTTTGAAAGGTTGATTTGTTTTTTGCAATTAGTAAATCAGATCATGACATGAAAAATTCATGGTGTTATTAGGGAAAACTCAAAACGTTTGAACCTATGCACTTTGGAGTATTTGTTACTACGTAACAGTTTTGTGGTTCCCCAGTATGTCTGTGATATACGGCTAATGGGGTTTCCGGGGTTTGTACCTATGTGATTTTCGTCATTGAGATGTGAATCTTACATAAATTAATGTGGGTTATAGAGCCCCTTTTTGGGGGGGGGGGATGAGGGAGGGTGGGGGGGGGGTAGAACTTCTGTCACCATAAGAAAGCTGTCATAAGAATCGACTAATTAGGAGTATTTTTTTGAAGTAGGGGTGTATTTACCCGAGAGACAAGGAACCAACAGTCTGCATGCAAAAAAGCCAGATGTGTAAAACACATGTGCACGCAAACTCAAGTTCTGGAACAAAACTAATGTCTAGAATGTGACGAAAAACTATAACTTTTTCGCAAGAGTTTCCAGCCAGCGAGCGCATTTTAAAAAAAAATCAGAAGACCGTGACATGAACAATTAATGCCAGCAAAATAAACGTTAAAAAAGGACCCATTTCCAAGCCTTCATGCGTACTGGGAATGTATGATTAGGCCTATGTTTCATAGACCATCGGCATTTAGATCAACATCACGCAGACCGCCTTCACTTCCCATGATTTTACCAATTACCAGTTTACGTCTGGGTCGACCTTAAAGCCAAGGAATTTGGAAAAACGTCAGGTCCCTTAAGGACCTGCACCCAAGACCTGCGGATCCGCAGGCCAGTGTCTAGTTGCTGCACCACGGCGGTTTCCGTATCAGCATTCAGGGTCAACATCGTGCGGACCGCCTTTACTTCCTATGACTTTGCGTACTACTCATTTAAAGCTGGGTCGACCTGGAAGCCATGGTAGTTTTTGAAAAAAAAAAGTTCTAGCTATGTCAGGAACTGAACCGACTACCTTTGGATCAGCAGGCGTGCGTCCAGCTGCTACACTACGACGGCTTCCGTATAAGCTAAGACTTCACTGTTGTAAACGTTGCTCTGTGATTGGTCAGAAACGAGCTGTGTGGGCTTACAGAGCAAGAACCAAAGGGAAAGTCATCAAAGAAGACAATGGAGCCTTTGCTTCTACTACCAGCCGCATGACGATGGAGGTAATGGCCGAAGAGACAATCTACATTCTTTGGTCGTGTGATGAGAAGGAGAAAACTGGAGTACATAGTGGCGGTAGGAAAGTTGTAGAGGAGGAGAGGCACAGGGAGACCGAGAGACAGATGCTGGACAGTTTGTCGTCATGGCGGATCATCTGTGTCAGAGTTGATTGAAAGTAACGAGACAGAAGGTTGAGGATAGAAATGACTACTAACGCCACACAACATAGACAATAAGAAGTTTTACTACGTCCTGGACGGTCGACTATCGATACTGCCGGTGGTCTCTGTGGCTAAGTGGTTAAGCCGTTTGCCTGGCGCTCTGAAAGTCACGGGTTCTTTTAACGACGGTGCTGTTCACTTCACAAGAGCTATTGTTTTCCATATGGATCGTCGCCGGAGCTACGGAGTTTGTGCTTTTTGCAATGCTTTCGGCAGGCGGCTAGCCGCTCTGCGTAGAGGGAACTTGTCAAATGGAATAAACCCCGTGCAATGGAGTAAATCCTCTAGACTTTAACCTTAAAACTGTGGAAACCAGTGCAAGGCCGTCTGCTGCCATATAACCTGCAACTAGGATCAAACTTGACACCTCGGCATTGCGATGCGTGTTCACAATGTCTAAGCCGCAGGCGCCGAGTGTTTAATAAAGGTAGGGAAATAATTTTAATGAATTAATGGGTTAAAGAAACAATTGGCACTGAGTTGATGAATGTAACAACCGAATGCAACTCACCGAGTCTAGGCCATAGGTTCTTATGAGTATCGATCAAAGCGTGGTGAGTTTTTTGGTATTGAAAGAGTTAACTATACGTTTTTCTCAATCAGGTTCTCCCTTTGTTTCCTCTGTTGTTTACTCTATCTCTCCCTTGTCTCTCCCATACGTTTTTGCTCGGTCTCTTTTATCATTATGTGTGTGCAAGTATGTTTATATGTCTGTGTATGTCTACTCCTATGTACTATACTGTTGTATTTGTGTATGGACGAGAGAGAGAGAGAGAGAGAGAGAGAGAGAGAGAGAGAGAGAGAGAGAGAGCGCCAGGAAAGAGGGATAGAGATAGGGATATATATATATGATGGCTGTCTAACAATGGTAATATAAGGGATACAGAAGAACTGATACATAAAGGAGGCCTGCCAATGAATATTTCAGGGATATTTGACAGTGGGGAATCAGTACAGAGAGATGTATGTAACCATTCTAAAGATGCTTCTCATCCCCATTATTGTAATCATGTGTCAACATGCAAAGACATATTGTAATAATTTAAAGAGGCAAAGACGTATTTTATTGTTTTAAACAATAAGATTACTACCATAAATGCAGGTAAGTTAATCCAGCGAAATGTGGTCAAGAAGCTTAGCGAGAAAGGGAAGGGAACAACACACACAAATATACATACACGCATACATAGACACCTACACAAGACACTTTAGATGTTTCGGCAGGAACCGTTATCAACGACATCAGCAACAAAGGGCAGAGTACCCTGGTCACCAGTCCAACACGAGGGAGGGAAAAGTGGATTGGGGAAAAGATGGGGGGGGGGGGTGTTGTTATTCGGATGAAGCTTTCCCAGTGTATCTACAGATATATGTTTGTAGTCTGGTGTATGTTGCTTTTTCGCTTCTTTTGTGTCTTCTTGGGAGCTGCGTGGTCTCTATGCATGGTGTCTGACTCGAGTGCTAGAGGTCCCGGGTTG